GAGGTATTTTACATCTACAAAACTGAAGTTCAGGGAGACATTTATTAATATTTATCCATTCATTATTTTCTTAAATATTTGTTGTACATCTGCCATAAGCCATGGGCTGAGCATTGTACAAAATCAAATAAGACATCAAGTTTCCTATCAAGAAGCTCATAAATTAGCTTTGATGAGAAGGACAAGTAAAATGATAAGTGCAGTAGAGAGCGATATATGTATACAGTGTAGGCAGTATGATAGAGATATGAAAGGGCAGTAGTGGATAACAGAGAAATACCTAACCCAGACTGGGAAGTAAGGAAAAGCTTCCCAGAGGAGGTTACACCTGGGCTGAATTTGAGGGGGTTAACTTTTCTAGGCAGAAAACAACACAAGTAAAGGCATTGAAATATGAAACAGAAAATGTTAGGAAGCTACAATTACTACAGGCCCAGTAAGTGCAAAATGGTTGGAAACTAAAGTAACAGAGGGAGGGTAGTAACAAATCAGGTTGGAGAGGCACGTCAGGGTCAGTTCTTGAGAGTCCTTTGGGTAAAGCTAGGGAGTTAAGACTTTATCCAAAAACCAGGAGTAATATAATCAGGGTTTAAGCAGAGAATAATAGAATCAGATCTGAAGTTTAGAGATCATTATGCCTTCTCTGTGAAAAATAGATTGGAGGTTCCAAGAATAGCATCGGGAGCCCATATAAAAGATGGTTGTCAGTGCTATAGGTCAGAGATGAAGGTGGCTTGGATATATAGGTAGTGGACATGAAGAAAAGTGAGTAGAATGGGAATGTTCTTTGAAGGTAGAATCAACAGGACTTGGTTTGGGGATGAAGGAGAAAGAGGAAGTAGAAATTGCTCTGAGGTTTTTGACTTGGAAGACTAGGTGACAATCAGGGAATACAGGAGGAGGGTTTTAAATGTATAGAATGGGTAGAAGGAAGAGATGAGTTCACTTTAGATATGTTCATTTTGAGGTGCCTATGATGTAACCAGGTAGAACTATATGCTAGGCAGTTGAGTTTCTGATTACTGAACACCTATTAAGTGCAAAGCATGGGAGGGGTGTAGAGAGACAAAAGAAACAGTCCCTGCCCTCAATGAGCTCATGGTCTAGTGAGACAGTCAGGGAGATAAACTATCAATAACAGTACAGTGTAATACATGTTATGACTAAGAAAAGTATAAGGCACTAGAGCAACATGGGTGTGGCTGATTCTTAAAGAACAAATGGAGTGATCCAAGCAAAGAGAGTAAAGATTTTCAGGCATAAGCAAGAGTTTATTACATGAGAACTCCAAAGAACATTCAGGGAACTACCATTCAGTAGTTTGGTATGGTTGGGATGCAAGGTTGCAAAGGAGGAGCCAAGGGAAGTGAAGGTAGTCAAATAAGTTGTACCAGAACACGAAGAGTTTAGAAAATTATATTAAAGAGTATAGACTCCATATGCATGCACCTGTATATACACATGCATAAAGCAAATATGACAAAATGATACCAAGTGATAAATGTAGATGGTGGGCATATGGGTGCTCATTGTACTTTTTTTTTTCAACTTTTCTGTATACGGTATTTTAAACATTTTGTAATAATGAGTTTAAACTTGTGACTTTATATTGAAGTCAATGGAGCAAATGAATGATATGATCATATTTGAACTTGAAGAGATCATATGGATTGTATGAGGACAAAACTGGTGAAAGAGAGACTAGTGAGGAGGCCAATATCTCCAGAACTAGTCTGATACCTCCACTGTGGAATGGAGGCATCAGACTACTATAGCTTGATAATGTGAGTCATTAAAATCATCCTATGAACTCCCCTTGCTCTGAGTTCACCCTCACCAAGCAACCCTACTTATTATCAGTTAGCTCCTCATGTAAATATGCCTACAGGGAGATAATGCACTGATTAGCAAACACTAGTATTTGGTCCACTTGGAAGTTATACTTCTCATTATAAATTAATCAACTGGCATTCTGGCTCATATATTGGTCTCTTATGAATTTGGATAAGTGTGAGTCAGTCCCCAGGGGCCCAGTCTCTGGTTATACTACCAATCAAATTTCAAGGCTTACGAAGCTAAGAACCAGATTGTAGATCATTCCTGCAACAAAGTCCTTCCACTCCATGGAGGCTTGCCTGGGTAACCCACTGGCTTTCCACAACCATATTCCTCTATCTCACTATGAGTTATTTTCTAATTATAACAGAGCCTTGCTACCAATACTAAGGTCTGTTGATCAGGAGCATCAGCATCATCATCTAGCTGGTTAGAAATGCAGAATCACAGGTTCCACCCAGACCAACTGACTCGGAACCTGCCTTTTAACGTGATCCCCAGGGGATCTGCATTTACATATATTTGAGGAGCCCTAGGGTAGACTAGTGTATTCCTGACAAGTAGCTAGCATCCAGCGTCTGCTTGAACACCTCCAGTGTCAGAGCTCACTACTTCACAAAACATCCTATCCTGAGTGAGACTATACTTTTCTTGTTGGAAAGTAAACATAAGTATAGTTTGACCCTGTTTCAGTCCTTCTTCTTCCTTCCACCCTCCTCTTCCAAACCCAGGCCCCCAGAATCACCACACTACTCTCTGGCCATATCACTACTCCACCAGGGCCTTTGCTCCGAGCAAACCCCGTATCAGACTTCACCTTATATGTGACAAACCAAATTTACTAGTCCCAAATATATTCCCTCGTAGTCGTACTCTTTGTAAGACTAATAACACCTACTGTTCATTGAGCATTTACTATATATTTTACATGCATTATCTCATTTGATCCCACAAGTATCTATTACTAACCCCATTTTTACAGAAGAGAAGACTGGCCCAGAGAGAATTACAGCAAGCTGCCAAAACGCATATAGCTAGGAACAGAAGGATTCCAATGCAGTTCTGCCTCTAAGTATTAATAGCCGATAATAACTTAACTATTTTCCCTCTGGAGAGTGCCATTCACATTTGAATGTTGCATTATACCAAAAAGAGAAAGTTCAAGTGAAATATCTCACGTATGCATTTCAGGCACTGTGACCACTGAGGGAGATATATTTGGGCCAGGAGCCTCTTTGAATTCTTTAAAACCTACCACAAAGGACTACTCTGCCAAATATTTGTATCAGCAATACCAAACTGAAAGCTGCCCTGAGCAGTTCGCTATATAATGATGAACTGATAAGCAGAGCAGCATCGTGCAGGAGCAACAGTAGGGAACCATGGTGGCAGATTTAGTTTCCCATCACATAGTCTCTACAGAAGTATAGAGATGGACGGTAGTGTTCTGCCTTTAA